CTCTGTACAACTGAACTAAGAAAAGCCCCTCACGCCTAACACTGACAACAAAGTATTGACCTGACCACTGATTCCAAAGCTTGACTCAGAATCCTCTGGAGCACTAGTTTTAATACACTCATGTATTATTGTACCAGGCCACCATATTTTAGTTAGTACTACTCTGTGAATAAAGTTATTTGAACATTACCGCATATAACTAGATAATAAATCCCACCCTCGCACATAGTGTCCTGGGGGAAAAATAGTAGAGCATGTTCTACAGTTTTTGTCAGCCTTCTATTTTTAATATTGGATTTCCCCTTATAACTGTAGTTACTGTAATACTATGTAGACTCATATTTTCCATATAATACTGAAGGCTCATGCATACATTTCATAAAATGGTGGATGTAATCATTTCTAGAGCCAGGCTTTATACTATTTTTTTTTTTTACCACCACAAAACTATCCTACAAAAGATGCTTTGACACTGATTAAAAGAGTTTTATATATAATATTTGTTGTATTAAAAGATCCTTTTCCTGTATGAGTTAGTGTAAACAAGAATCAGGAAACAGTACAGTAAGGGAACGTTACTGTCATAGGAGGTTATACAACAATTACTCCCTATACATAATGTTTAGTGAATTTGATAATGCTAGTATTATCCCAAAACATTTTCTCATTCTAAACATTGTCCCAAATGTTGAAGGAAGTAATAACACTGCAATGCTTATTACTCAGTTTAAATAAAGGATGTATGCATTTCTGCAGAAATAAATGTAACACTTCAGCATGGTAGTGCTTGCAGTATATCTCAGCATTTGCATTATACACATTTAGGAGTGTTTATCCTGTAACATTTATTCTAGATAGTAACTTGGTATAAAGCTATCGGTCCATGAGTATTACATTAAGAAAAAAATTGAACGCCAGTGATCTCTGAGTGTCTTCTCAGTTTAAGATAAAATGAAAAAAAAATAAGAGTGCAACTTTTAACTGTTTTATTTTCTGGCATGGTGTAAGGGAAGGTCTTTGTGGAATTGCAGGCACATTTCAAGCTGGAGGATTTACTTATTCTTAAACTATAATTATCTGATTTAAAAATTCTATCTGTTTTTTGGTTTTATAAATTTCACTACTACATAACAAAGCTATAAAACAAGCTCTTTATGGGATCCTAAGAAGTCATGTACTTCTGTATCCTGTTGGCTGACTGTAGCAGTTAAATAAGAAAACACAAGTCTTAGAGTTATACTGACATTGATTATGCCGATTCACAAACAAAGACGTCTCAGCACTACACAAGCTAATGCTTTTGTTGCTAAGCCAAAACCAGAAATGTTAATTTAATATCTATTCAAACTGGAAATTCTGGAGGTTGCAGTGGGCAAAACTTGTGCCAGCGTATTCTGCTGCTTGCCAACAAAAAGAAGAAAAACCTCTCTGCATAAACACAAGGAGAAAAAAAAGCTACCCTACACACCAAAGAACCGGATAAGAGTGGCATCATCCTAAAGAATGTTTTATTAATACAATTATGAGAAGTTAAAAGTTATTACCAAGCACTTGATCATAAACTTTCAGAATCAATTTGGTACTATAGTCAAAAGATGAACACTGCAGAGACTGAGAAATTTTAAGTCCTCCAGTTGCCCTCAAATGTACATAAGACACCAAATTAGGCAAACACTGAAAATATGTCATTCAGATATGCATTTTTCCTCTCTAAGGACTCCAACAATGGGAGGTGGTCAACATTCTCAAGTTCCATGGAGCCTAGAAAGACCTGTGGGTGTTCAGGATCCCATAAGTCACTCAGAATCCATTCCTGAAAGGTACTGAGTCATCAGAGACAATAGCTAAGAAGAGAATCAAGTTCCAAAGTAAAGTCCTGGGAATTGTAGCAAAGATGAAGCAGACAAGCAAGTGTAGAGACTGACAAGTCATATTTTATTAAATAAACGGAGACTCAGGGGTTGAATGGAGGACTATTTTCATATATTTTTCTTGCATAGTGCGTTTTGCTCATGGCAGGATATGGACCTTGGAGAGTAAGTAGTTCCAGTGTTCTAAAAATATTAATTGGAAGGGCATGCATTGTAAAACCATGCATCTACTTATTTCTATTTCAACAGAGCCTAAGGACCCCAAACAAGTTTCACTTGTGCAAACAGACCTTCTGAGTCCCCAGAGAGCTCAAAACTTGTGCTATATGCATATGCACAAAGTGAAGCCAATACAATTTCCCATGCATTTACTGTAAGTTAGACAATGTATATAGCATCCACTTAATAGACCAGACAGTTCCTTTGGAATTCAAGATCACTTTGATTTCATTAGTTTTGTGAAAGTTTGTACGCGTGTGTTTAATTTTAAGGAAAAAATCCCTGTAAGTCTGATACACTGATCAAAGTCAAGAAATCACTAGCTAGTCTGACAGACTGAGCTGTCATTTCATTCCACTTCCTTGTTTTACTTCCAAATATGATTTAATAGACAAAATATCAGCTTTAGTTTTCTTCTACTGCTCATTTCTTCTGTATGGTTATTGAGCAGGGTGTGCTTTAAATTGCAAACTTGTGCTGCTACATGTACCTGAGTTCAAAATGATGATGCTTGTTTTACTCTGTATCTGTCAAGTGTCACATTTTACTGGACCCAACAGATTTCAGTGATACAACAGTGACCAGACTTATGGTTGGCAGAAGGGGTGGGGCACACATCTGAAATGAGACAGGAGGGGACTATTTCAAAGAAAATGGAAACAACTGAACTCAAGATATAATGAAAACATGGAGAAAAAAATAAATGATGTAACAAGAAATGCTTCCTCAAAAGCGATCTGGAACAAGCAGCAGATCTGGCAGAAAAGATTCAATTCACTTCAAATAAACAAATACAATCTGGGAGAAGAAAAAATTTATTTCTTGGAGAGCCACAAGAAGGGAAGTTAATTAAGGACAGTGCAAGATTAACAATATTTAATGCATTTTTGACAATTTTAAAATTTGAGCTTTTTATCAATTCTTTTGCTTAGCAACAAGGAAAAAAGCTCTCATTTGATAATAGTCAGCTCATAAAATCATTAGAGGGAATATTTTTGCTGCTTACTGTACAGAGGAGTTTCTCTTTTTGGGCAATGGTCAAGATCAATAAGATTCTATCTATAAAAATCAGGGACAGAAATTTGACAATTTTCCCCCAAGTAGATCATTAATAGATGTATCTAAAATTAAGTCTACTTGAAATTATTGCTATTCTTTTTCAAACGTGACTCTGTTAAGGACTCATTGATGTATAGACACATTACTTTAAAAATGTAACAGATTTGTAAGTGTGCTTTCATCTTGGATTAGAAAACCAGTGAGATGGCACAGCAGAAATCTATTAGTTACATAGTCTCTGTCCATGCCAGAGCAGGAGTCTTCAGTATGATCATCAGTGCTTTATTTATTCTAATTTTAAATGTATCATGTTGACCGAAAAAATCCCACAGAATGATAAACAAAAATTAAAAATAATGCTTTTGGTTAAATTTTATTTGTTTTTGCCTGCTTAAAATGAAGCTGTTTGTTACAAAATATTTTAAGGTTTAAACTTATAATAATTTAGCTGTAAATCTGAAACTTTTGTAAGAGTAGCTTATGGAGGTGAAACATTTAAAGTTGTTTTGCTTAATAAAAATCAGTGTTATGGCTATTTTGTGTTTAATTAAATTTCAGTTACCATACTAATTTGCCTGGACATAAATCAGGAGCAAAAAGTTATATTTTGTACAAAAAGCAATGTATCATTCACCATTTTCTGACATACTAAACATGTACAAATAAGAAGAAATTGCAACTATTAAGATATTTAATTGCTTAAATAAATATACATAGTTCTACTGTATATTTCTATGAAGCAAACAGATATACCAAATTTAATATAAAGGCTCTGTTTAGTAGTAAATCAACATGTTTTAATGGTTAAACCAACCAATAAAAATACACCTCTATTCAGAATATAAGTAGAAATGGAAAATGATTAAAATTCACTATTTGAATTTAGGCTTTTGATTTGGTTATTTAAATAATTATTTACATGAACATGATTTAAATCAGTCCATCCAGTCTCCTACATAACCTGCAACTGCAAATGGCAGCAAGAGTGATCAGATGAATTAACCTTCAAGGTTTCTTCCAGAACTGGTGTTGGTATTTTTTTACATGGTCTGGCCAGACTATTATTAACCACAATCACTGCATTACAGAGAGGGCTAATTTAAGGATTTTGAGGATTAGTAAAATGGGGTTGCATTCTGCTTAACTGAAACATTTTATACAACAGTATATGTCTGCAGCAAAGAATGGGAAGACAAGACACCCCATTGCCTCTAGTTTCAGAAGTCAAACCCAGCCGTGGAAGGCGGTAGTTAGTTAGTGAATTAATTAATTTTTTAAAGAAAACGAGTTCTCCCAGGAAAAAAATGTTCAAGTATGATGATACATAGGAGACACTAGGCCTACTGTATTCTGCTGAATGTTATCAAGCTACATTACCAACAGTAACTACCCAATTGCCCCAACTCTCTTCTTTTGGCTAGTACTTTAGAGAGAAACTAAGGCATAACAATTAAGTCTGATACAATGGTCACAAAAGGCATGCTAGTCAGTACTGAATTAGAAAATGGGAATCCCCTGTTCTTATGTCACATCTTAATCCTCTCTGGAGACATCTCACTGAATTTTGCTGCCTCTCTTTGTGGGATGAGGACACACTGGCTAATCAGAGGAGTTAGCTCAATTGCAGGCAGCTGACTGGGAGGCACCTAATAGCACTAGTACCATGAATGGAATCTTGAATGCTGCTACAGTCATATTCACAATCTGATCTAGGGTCCTCAGAAAGAGAGTTGTGGTGCTGGTTTTCCCAAAGGAAGTGAAGTATAAACAGTGAGTGGTCTTAAGGAAAGCTTTTCCAAACCTGACTTACAATGGAAAAATCTAAGCACCTTAAAAAAAATCAGGCTGAGATTGTGAAAGCAGCATTTTGCCAAAATTTTCAAGTCATTTTGTCCTAACCAGCAGCTTTGAAATGGCATCTATGCTAATATTTTTTTAAAAGAAACTAACATATAGCAAGCCTTCTGGTTTTGCCTTCTAGAGCCACTTGAAGATAGAGCTACACAGTATCACCATTATAAAGTCAATAAATACATAATAGAAACATTTTGTATTATAGACGTTAAGGTAAGCTCCAGAATCCAACCCTATTGAACAAATCTGAAATAACCATTTTTTAAAAAATCAGTGAAGAACCAGCTTCCAAGTTTCCGAAAAGTCACAACAGATTGCAAAATATAGTAAAATGTATCAGTTTACTTTTTAAATAGTCTTAATCTTTAATAATGAAGTTAGATAAATGACAATTTGATCCAGTGTTATGCATCTATAGAACAGCAAGAAGCTATTATTGCACAATATATCCACAGGATTTCCAGTAGTAAGGAACATATAAAAAGTTCTATCTCAGAAGTCCCTGGACATTAATTTTTGGTGCTGGATTCTAACAAGTCTTTTGCTTCATTTATTTTTGTTGCTAAGTAGGGAGATCCACCTAAAAAAAGGGAGAAAAATAGATTTAGATCAGCATGAAATACGAAATCATTTAACTTAGAGGATCCCTTTGATTATTGGTGATGTGGTTTATTAGTTTCCTCCCCCTCCTCCCTAAGAAATCCTTCATAAGCTTACATAAAAATGGCAGAGATAAATTAAACTAGTGGATAAATAAACAGGATACGTAATCAAAATCTTAAGCACTGTGAAAAATGCAGAGCAGCCATCTCCTATCAAAGTGGAGCCCTCATGAAAAGTCTAAAATTGTCTGAAATCTTATATTGGCATTTACCTGCAAGATTTAGACTGAATGAACTGTTCCTGTACACGTTAAGCAAGGTCAGCAATCCTGAACAGTTAATCTAAATGAGAACAGCTAGGATTTCCACCCCCCCCAGAGGCAAAATTTATATACAAAATGACCAAGAACATACATAAAGCCTACTCCATTTTGGATTCAGAGACACAGAAATACTAGCAAAAAAAATCATATTAAAGGTATTTAAACATGGTACGCCTTCTAACTTCTGGTCCTGAACAGTGTCATTGCTTTACGCTTCATCTAACAATCTGATTACAGTTCAGTGGTTGTTGTGTTTGGTTTTTTTTTACTCTCCCCTTGAGTGCCAACCATCTGCCTACAGTCACCAAAACCAATGTTATAAGGTCTGTATCAGTAGCTCATTACTGACTAGAACACACCTCTATCTTTGTGCAATAAAATATGGTTTAAACATCACTGTCCCCTGAATAACCCTTTCCTAGGCATCTGTATTTATGAATCAAAAATTATGAATAAAATGTGACATAGGCACTGAATTTTATTTTTGCTAGTGGGTGCTTCTGAAGAGGTGTGTGTTTTTGGGAAAGGGGGAGTATTCTGCCAGTTGTGGGGGAAGCTATTTTAAACATTTTTACACTTTTCATATTCTAGTTATTGAACGTCTCTTTCACTGATATCTTTATCATTTTAATGATTTAATTGTTATGAACCACATTTACATTATCATGAATTACAATGTACTAAAATCATTGCAATCACCTACAAGCTGTCTTCACTAACGTTCCAGTTTAAGGTATCATATCTTTATGGATGAAACTGTCAGCAATCTTATTTACATCTTGGTTCCCTGTGGGAGGGGGGAGGGAGGGGGTTGATGCATGGTAAGGACAGTTACATTATTTAGTTGCACATGTCCCACTGATGACCAGGGATAATTTTTAAGTCTTCTGTGAAAGTATTCTTAGGAATTTGCAGTACTCTAGAATACTGTAAATGACCCCAAGATCTCTTTTTTAATGGCTAACAGTTAATTTAGGCACCATCATTCTGTATGTATAGTTGTAATTATATTTTGCCATGTGCATGACTTTGCATTTAACACTGAAGTTCATCTGCCATTTTGTTGCCATGTCACCCAGTTTTGCAAGACCCCTTTCTAACACTTTGCAGTCTGTTTGGGACTTCACTATCTTGAGTAAATTTATACTATCTGCAAACTTTTCCACCTCACTGTTTACCACTTTTTGAAGATCATTTTGTGAATGTTAAACAGCACTGGTCCCTGAAGAAGCCCCATGGAGGACACCACTTCATTTTAAAAATAGTCTATTCCTATCCTTTGGTCTGCTCTACACTATAACATATGCTGTGATAGGTTGAATTAATAATCAGGGCCTCTTCCGCTGACTTAATGGGCTCAAAGTTGAATCCCACATTCCATCTCTGCGAGAGGCATAGTGCTTGAGTCCATATGCATGCACTGTCATAGGGATAGTGTGCACACAACACTGTATAATTTGAAGGGATTGGCCTGCAGGAGCAGTGAGTTATATGAGCCTATTGTGCCTGGGCTCCTGGAATATTCTTGGCCTGGTTGCCTTGATTCAGCAAAGATCAGGGCTGTGCCTGCCACCCTTGCATGCCTCCCTCTCCCATGCATCCCCTGGCCGCACCTACTGCCCCTGGGCAATCTAATGCCTCCCAGGGGCCTCCTCTGCCACTACCAGCAGTGAAACGGGGCTGAAGTGGCTTCCTTCCTATCCCTCACTCCACACAGCTGGCAACACATCCCAACAGCCCCTGGGCAGGTAGCAGTGAAGGGAGTTTGGGGCGGAGAGGTGTGGGCTCTGAGTGTTCTGAGCAACACCAACATTTCTACCTGCTGTCCCTGTCCCAGAGTCCTCAGTTGTGACTATTTTGGACAGTTTCAGCTCCTTTGTACATCAGTCAGGTATACAGGAAACAGCTGCTGCTTCCCGGTTAAAGCCCTGAAAACTTGTTTTGAATTTTCATTTCCTGTCTGAGCTCTGTGGAGACCTCACCAGCACAACTGACCATGGATGCTCAGTGCTGCAAACTTGTTCCAGCATGGAGCATAAGGGACACAAAAGATCTGATTGCTGTGCTGGGAGAATAATCTGTGCAGGCAGAGCTCCAAACCTGCAGAAGAAACACTAACATCTATGCCAAAAACACACAGGGCATGGGGAAGGAGGACTACACCAGGGATACACAGCAGTGCCACATGAAAACAAAGGAGCTTAGGTAAGCATTCGAGAAGACAAGGGAGGCAAACAGTTGCTCTGAGTATGAGTCACAGACATACTGCTTCTGCGATTCTAGGCAGCAACCCCAGCATTATGCCAAAACTCTCAGTGGATTCCCCTCAGGAGCCCCAGGCAACAATGAGGACATTGCTGACGGGGGAGAGAAAGAAGTGGAGGAGGACAATGCACAACAGGCAAGTGGGGGATCTATTCTCCAACAGTTAATCTTTTTTTTAAACTCTGGAGCTAATTCCCTCACAAGAGCTATTGTCGGAGCATGAGGGCAGGGAAGGAACTTGTGGTGAGTACAAATTTTCAATCAAACTAGAGGGGTTAAGTGCTATTTTTAATGTTTAATCTGAATTTAAAAATTGGGATAGTAGCTAGTGGAGGCCACTCCAGCTATGCAGAGGGTGTTCTCCAAAAGAAACTATGTGCCTGGGGCTGGGAAACCTCACCCAAGTATGACTTAGAAGCTCTCTGCAAAAGTAGCCTGCAAACTTTTGTAGATGATTTCTGAGAAGATCTGCATTATTTCATCCACCACAGTGGACGCTTTCCTGTATCATGTCAGTATTAACTCTTCTGGCATCTTTGTAGCACATAGCTTTACAGCATAAAGGCTAAGGCCGTGGCTAGATGCGTGCAGCATCTGCTCCCTTTCTGCCTCAGTTACTCTCAGGAAAATGATATTGCATATTGTTACCTATGTGAAATTGGGAAAGTTTTACAAGTGCTAGCCCTGAAGCTGCAAGCAATTAGCTAAATAATCTGCTCTTCTTTGCTGATCCCCAAAAATGTTTGCCCAGTTGTTTGCCCTATATGCATTTGGAAGGGATCACCCCGTACTGCAGCCAGCATTTTAAAAAAGATGGGGTGAAGCTGTGCTTCCTGTTCCAATCCTGTTCCTTTCCACCCCATCCTGATTCTGCTTCTTTACACAAGCAAAACTGTTTAACAAACATTGCTGGTGCAGGGCTTTATGCTGGTGCCTAGGAATGCGAAAGGGGGCTACAGGTTGAAACCATTAACCCCAGACGTCTGAAAGGCTGCAGTAAGACCTCCCCTCCCCCTTCTTCGTGGGCTTACCATGGCGGAGTCAGTAAATTGATTGTTACCGTACCCTGTGCTATTGCTTGTGTTGTATATTATAGTGAAGTGATTCTTTTAAGATTTAACCTTGCACCTCAAACAATGTATGCACTGTCAATGCTGTCCTTGTGCTTTGTTTCAGGTGCAAGAATACCTTGTCCATGGATGACCTTGTCCCAGATTAGAACGTGGAAAAAGAAGACTTGGGAAGACATGTTTGATGAATTGATGTGTTCCTCCAAAACTGACAAGACAGCTCAACGCATGGTGGATTACACTATCAGAGAGCATGCACGATGACCAAGAGGACAGGAGGGCATGAAGGAACATGAGCATAATATGTAGGATGAGATGATATGGCTTATGAGAACAAACATACATGCTGAGGCACCTGGTTGAGGTTCAAGAAAGGCAGCTGGACATTAGGGTGCAACAGGACTCTATGCTGAACCTGCTGCCCTCGTCAGCAAGTTCCATTTCCTTTTCTCTCAGACATCCTAGGATGCAGTAGAGGGAAGCTCCAGTTTTCTCTGCACTCAACTCCAGGGGAGGGTACAAGAAGCAGGAAGGGTACAAGGAGCAGGTCATTGATGAAACTATTTTTCAAAGCCTCACAGAGACACAGTGGACCTTGATGTGCTCTTCATATTTCCTGGGTATCTAGTTGCTCAAAATTGGCTGCCAGGTAATCTGCCTCAATCCCACCACCCCAGAAGCTTTTCTCCCTTGCTTTCACAGCTATTATGGAACACACAGCAAACAACAACAATGGGAATGTTGCTTTCATGGAGGTCTAACCTAGTAAGCAAACTGCATCAGCAGGCCTTTAAATGTCCAAAGACACATTGTACCACTATTCTGCACTCAGCTTTAGTTGAACTGCTCCTTAATGCTGCTCAGACTGCTTGTGCATAGCTTCATGGGACAAGGGATAGGCTGGGTCTCCAAGGATAGTAATTGGCATTTCAACATCACCAATGATAATTTCTCAGTCTGGAAAGAATGTTCCTTCTTGCAACGTTCTGAGCAGACCAGCGTTTCTAAAGATGTGTGCTTCATGCACCTTTCTTGACTGTCCCATGTTGATGTTGGTGAAATGGCCCTTGTAATCCAATAGAGCTTCCAACATAATTGAGAACTATCCCTTGTGGTTTATGTTCTCTTTGGTACAGTGGCCTGGTGCCAAGATATATGGAATGCGTATCCCTATTACCCCACCAAAGTTAGGGAACACCATCCATGGCAAAACCATCCACTATGTTTTACACATTTCTCAGTTACTATCCTTCTTAGCAGAAATCTACTAATTGCCCTGGCAACTTGGATTACAGCAACCCCCATAGTAGATTTATCAACTCAAAACTGATTTCCTACTGACTAGTTGCAGTCATGCACTGCAAGTTTTCACAGAGCTATTGCCACTCGCTTCTCAACTGTCAGAGGAGGTCCCATTTTGGCACTGCTGCATTTCAGGTCTGAGGAAAACTCATTATACAGTTCCATGAAAGCAGCCTCTCTCATTCAAAAGTTCTGCAGATGCTGTTCCTCATCCGATATCTGTATAACTATGCATCCCACCAGTCTGTGCTTGTTTCCTAGGCCAGAAGCAGCGTTCATCATGCCAGCATTTGAGAGTGTTGCCCTATATGAAAAATGTTCCAGTCCATAGCTTCCAACACAGCTGTTTGAGTGGGCATCACATTGTTCCACACAGCAGCGCCTGCAGTGTACAGTGCGAACATGTTTTGGTTTGTGTGCTGTTGATTTCAGGGAGGGAGGCAGGCAGGGAGGGAGAAAAGTGTCATGGAAGGCTGACATTACGTTCCCAAAACCACCTGTGAAAAAATGTTTGTCCCCATGAAGCACTGCAAGCACAGCCCATCATTCCAATTAGCTTCAAGCTGGATAGCTACCCAATCGAAGCTCCCTGCTAGTGAGGATGTGCTACACTGACCAAACATGCACAGTGGAGACATGTGGAATCAACTTGCTTAAACTGGATGCTCAATGTCAACTTAAATAAAAATTAAAATAATGTTTTAGGGTAGACATACCCTTCTTTTCTATCTTTTAACTGGAATGCCTGGGAATGCTTTTAAGGATCATCTAGCGATCCTTAATTTAATGACAAGCTTTTTCAGGGACATTGTGTGGCAGGGGGTGAAGAGGACAGGTGAGCCCCCAAACATTGTGGGCAGGAGGGGCAAGAGGCCAGAGCTTCTGGGTGGCCTGAAGGAGTAGTGGGTAGGGAGGTGGTGCCCACAACAGGTGTTGCCGCACCCTCCCCCTGCTCTCACCACCAGCCGCAGGAATTTGAGCAATGAGGCTCCGCTGCCTCAGCTATGTTATTTGGGAGAGGGGAGGAGATGGAACCTCCCTACCCTCACTCACTGGCAGGAAGTGAAGCTACATGGCTGGGCGTGGAGAGAGCAGACCCCCCCGCCACTGAGTGTGGGGGAGCCTGAATCCCGCTACTAGTGACAGAGGTCTGCTAGTCCTATGGGTGAATCACTCAGAATAGGGGTCTGGAGGAAGAAGCAGGGTGGGGGATGGAACAGGGGTGGGGCTTGGGACAGAGGGGGCATGATCACTACCTCTCCTGAGCTAAGAATGGCACAGGGAGGGGTGTCATGTTTTTGGGGGGTAAGGAGGGGGAAGAGGAGTTTGCCTTTATTTTTATTTATATATATATATATATATATATATATATATATATATATATACACACACACACACACACACACACGTTTTTTTCTGTAAGGTTTGGGGATTAGTGTCTATTCCCCTCAGAGTAAAGGAATGAAAAATAAAAATAATAACCTATAAAAAGCAATACAAGCTAGAGAAATATTAGTTATGCACTGTTTAAGTTCTCAAAGTAAAAACAAATTTGCTAGCAATGTTTTTGTTACATTTACATCATTATAAAACAGCCTGTTTCCAATAATAGAGAAATTTGTATTGTGGAATTCAGTTATGTGTACTTTTAGTTTGGATACTTAGTGCAACAATTTTGAGGCTTTCATTATGTATGTTTCTCTAAAAATATTTTATTTTGATTTGTGTCCACATCTATATCCACAAAAATGAAAAAGCAGGTATCCGCAAATTTGCAAGGTTCTCAATACCAAATTTGTATTCACACTCACTAAAATGAGTTATGGATATCCATGGACTTACAGGGATTTACACATATTTCTCTCATAACTAGCCTAGGTAACTGTGGTTTTAATCAGTTACCATGGTTATCCTTTTCTCACTAACTCATATTGTCTGCTACAGTTGTATATTGTCTTAGGCTTCAACCATGACACTGGAGCCACATGGGCCCTAATGAATCAAAGGAACTCTGTATGAGTGTATGGGCCTACTTTTGCAGATGCAGTTGCAGGATTAGGACCTATGGCCCTGATTCTGCACTTGATAGCACACAGATGCGCTAGTGAATTTACACAATGCACTGTTCAAGTCTACAGAGCTCCAGACAACTGTCAGCTCAGATACTATCAGTTGTGGAGTGGGAGACTTCAGTATATATAATCTTCACAACAGGAAATGTATTATTGGTACACCTCTCAGCCCAAAGGAATCAAGATCCTGTTGAGGATCTCTCGGTGCTACTGCAAAACAAATGATAATGTGTGTTAATCTAAATTTTTAACATACTGTACACTAACCTGTATCTGCGACATATATTAGAAATACAATAGAGGATTTTTTTCTTATTTTCAGAGTAGTGTATACTCACTTTACAGAAAAGAAAATTAAAAAGCAGAATGGCAGCTAAATCTACTAAACAGCACTATTTAGCAACTTAGCAATCCATGGATAAAAGGCACTTGAAAAAAGGAATTACTCAACACCTTATACGGCTAGCGGTCAGTTATCTTTTTATTATGATGGCTAGGAAAAAACCCTGTAAATCTATCAACAAGAAATAAAAACTTCACTTCTCCCATTTGACTTTTGAAATACAGTACAACTCTTTACCATCTGTTATTGAGAAGTAGAAACAGGAATGAACATATGGGCTTTCTTTCTCAAGCAGCTGTAGTGTAGTTAAAGTTATAATAATAAGCCTCTCTGTAAATTAAAAATCTGGCCAATTAAAGCAACTGTGCCCAGCTTTACAGTTTTCCAGAACAGGTTTAAGAAATCCAGAATCTGATATATTTAGTGACTATAGCACATGTCTCTCAGACACTTGTGCATTCATATAATTATGGCTGGAAAAACCCAGTTCAAACGTTTCTGACTAACGTAAATGGGAACTTCATGGCTAGTATTTTCCTTTCTTCAAAGCTCCTGGAACACTGTAACAACCAGTGAAGTGCTGATCTAGAAAATAACCCAAAAAGGCAGAAGACTAGTGCTATTATGGCACATGGAGCTTTAGTTATTAGAGGAAAAACAACAGCATATAAAAGCTTACGTCTCACTATTAAATATACAGAACATAATTTCATGAGTTACATAAATGGCTAACTAGAACTAGTCTAAGTAAAATCAAAAGAGTTCTGAGTAATTTTTCCCCCACACAATTTTAATGAAAATAAGTTTACCTTTATCAGGGTGATTCAAAATCATGATTCTCCTATGAGCTGTTCTAATGTTGGCCTTGCCAGCAGATGGACTGTAGAAATAAATGTAAGTGCTTACCATAGTGTCAAATTCAAATTGTATACTATCAGTTTGAACTGATTTCAGACAATTTAAAACTAGAAGTTTTCACCATCTTGTGGACAAAGCACACAATTGCACCTTTCATTAAACACCATTTTAGTAAACCATTTAAGACACAATGGGCATGTCTATACTACATCCCTCTTTCTAAAGAGGGATGTAAAGTAGATAGATTGAAATTGCAAATGAAGCCAGGATTTAAATTTTTCACGCTTCATTTGCATATTGGCGGCCACGTGTTCTTTCAAAAAAGGGCTTTTCAAAAGTAAAACCACCATCTAGACGCCGTTCTTTAGGAAAAAAAAAACTTTTTCGAAAGAACCTGTAAACCTCATTTTTTCAAGCATTAAAGTTCTTTCGAAAGAGGGTTTTTCCCCCCAAAAGAACACTGTCTAGACAGCGGTATTACTTTCGAAAAGCTCTTTTTCAAAAATGTGCGGCTGCCATTATGCAAATGAAGTACGAGAAATTTAAATCCCAGCTTTATTTGCAATTTCGATCTAATTTACATCCCTCTTTCAAAAGAGGGATGTAGTCTAGACATGCCCAATGAGAAGGAAGTATACCTTAAAAAAAAAAAAAAGCCAGTCAAGTGCTTGAACAGGGATAGCTTTTGTCTTTGACATTCAAACAGTTCCTATCGCAGATGCTACACAGATTGTATCAGCAGAATTATATCAGCATAGCTATGCCAGCACTATACTGACAAAAGGTTTTTTTCTGTCCACATAGGAATACCACTCCCACAAATAGCATTAGCTAAGTCAATGGAAGCCCTCTTCCCTCACGCCCTTGATTGATGTAGCTATGCTAATATAACTTTTCAGTATAAATAAAACATTTTACAGATTATTCTGGTTTTCCCACCAATGAACAGGGAAAAACAATTCTCTTCCTGGAAAACTGTTATTTATGACTAACAACAAAATGTACTATATATTTATGAGAATTTGTGAGTGTGTATCTGTCTTTTGTCTTTTTGTTCAAGAACACTCCGGTCATCTGAAGAAATGGGCTGTGTCGACAAAAGCTCATGATACCATCTACATGTTTTGTTAGTCTTTAAAGTGCTAACAGACTATTTGTTGTTTTTTAAGTTTATCCTCCTAAACAGTAAGAGCTAGAATCACCAAATTCAGTATGCAACTTCCTCTTATGATAATTTAAAGCAAGGTAAGGGTTTCGGTTGTGACAGGAAAATGAAATGTGCCTGGAATGGGATTGCTTCTCAGAAAACCATACAGAAAAGGAAAAATCCATTACTAGGCAGGTGAAAGGGGCTGGCTGGGAATGACATTCCCCACTCTCCTTCCCAGGACTGTCCCAGACCCAAGTCTCCTATTCCCAGGCACTCTTTAGGGAAAGCAGGGGCTGAAACTTCCTCTCCCTCCCCCCATCTGTACAGGAATATTGCTGGCTGTTCCACTTCGTCAAGGACCAAGGGGAAAGTGCAATGTACTCCATTTTTCAATCTGACTGGGGAGCACAGGGAAGATTAACCTGGACCTGCCCCATTCAATGGGAATGCACCTTCCCTTGGCTGTGCTCACTGGAGCTGCAATGGCCATGGAAAAGTGCTTCTCACCTGGCCCCATGCTGCTGCAGCGAGAGGGCTGGAGTAGTCCTCTCTCCTCTTGGCAGCCTGCTTACTAAACCCCTCATCTCCAACCCAACCCCTCAGCAATGATTCAAATGAAGGATGTATATTTACATTGCATTTTCCAATAAAACAAAAATTGAGTTAAGGACCCAAACAATGCTGGGTAAATCTTTTAGTATGTAATACTTGTTGTAACTATTAATCTGTTCAGAGTATTATTAAATATTGTAATATTTAATAATTCCTCATTCTGGTGGGATCAGATTTTTTTTGTTTTTTCAAAGTATTCAATGTGTTACATTCAAGGAACAGGTCAACTTACAATGCTACATAAAGCTATTCCTTTCAACGGCAGGATGATAAAATATGCACTTCAATTAAATTGTGTACTAGGGACATAAACACGTACCCTGACTCATTGGTTATTGTACACCGTTACATGCAGCTACCTCCCTCCTTCCCCCCGCCCCAAGTGGCTCCCCAAGTGTACCAGCTCCTGCAGAGCTTCCCTCCCACCCCACTTGGCTCCTACTAATACAGTCAGCAGCATGGGGGACTGGTAGGAGCTGGCTCCCCATGAGCAGAGGTTCCCTCTGTCCCGCTGCCTCTGATATAGAGACAGCAGTGTGTGTGTGTGGGGGGG